CTGCTACTAAACTGTTGATGCTGTGGAGTAGAGGGCCATATGGTGTTCGTCATCAAGGAGTCCATTTGTTCGCCTAACTCTGTTAGCATGTTCCCTACACAAAACTGTCTGTACAAAGGTTTAATGTGCCTCGTTGAGTGATAAGCTGTGTTTTGTGGGTACTGCAGATAATGAATGGTGAAATAGAGTCCTGTTCCTTCAAATGTTCTGTTTGTTACCAGGTACCACATGTTTATGCTGTGTAGGAATTAGGACAAAGGGGAGATAAACCTGGCTATGAACGTTTCATAGCTATACATTAAGGAGTCGCTGTATATAACAACTTTGTGTTCTGATTGTTAAGAAGTCATGGGTGGTCTATTGTCTTTGTTGCTCCAATGTGCTGTTTTTTGTCAGCAATGTCACCAAACTAGGAGTTTGAATCCCAGTTTCGTGCTGATTGTGATCTTTGATTTGCCTGTGCCTCATCTTCATGCATGGGTTTGACCAGTGATTAACCCATTCAACACCGCAGGCCGAATAATCGGCCACAACGTTATGAGTCCCCAGACACCGGAGGCCGATTAATCGGCCAGGCAGTAGTCACGTCAAAATGAGACATAATTTTAGGAACCTACCTGACTTTTGATTCATATATCAAATCTATCACATTTCACAATGTCTGAAAACACTTATTAAATTTCAATTTATCATATATTATCAGCAGAATTAAAATTATAAACTATTTTTCGCAATATTATTGAAAACAACGATTCTCGGACTCATGCTTCGGCAGAGGGTCCACAATAACATTGTCAAAGAGCAAAGTAACGATGTTTCGAGGAAATTATTAAATAAATTGAATAAACTAATGAATAAAATCAACAACAGCATTCATAAGAGTTGTCAAACGTACATATAAAATTACTATTTCCATCTTTTTGTGCGATCATGTAATGCAAGTCAAGTCACTGACAAGTGACATCTCGCTCTCGCCGCCTCAATCTTCACCTTTCGGACCGCGATGTTTAATCGCGAAAATACATACATGAAGCATTTTTGTCACAGAGTCATAACCTAGCACGATCGTCCAATAAGTTCCATAATTTACGTATTGGTAGCGATTTCTTGCTTAATATGTTCGAATAGCATTATTTTACCCAAAACTTTTGTCCAAATCTAAAAGATTTACGTTTACGAGGGCGTATCCATTGCCGTAATATGATTGGCTGCCTTAGGTCACGTGTCTGATTTTGACCAATCACAACCCTTATAGCAGACTGTGGCGAAAAGCGTCATTAGAAACCAATCTTTATCCAATAAAATCGCTTCTTACAACTGTGAAAATACTCTTGGCAAGGGTACAGTGATATTGTTGATGTTCAGAGCTTTTCGAGCGATGCCCGACATCAAAGCGATTTGCAGCGCATGTTATTCATCTGAAGCTTCAAAACGGAGGTATTTTCAGTTGTTATGTCATTTTACCGGCGGAAAGCCGCAGATATCGGAAATAGGCGACCATACATATTGTTTAAGAAATCTTTTATAATAATTTTCTGATTACGTAAAATGAAAATATAAAAAAGAAAAAGGCACGGGCAATTTATGACATGTCACAAATGGAAAAAATCGCCATAGTTTTTGCTCCTTTCGTAGTTTATCTGGACGTTACAAATGTAAGCTTGCATTTTCATTCAAATATATATTTATTTAAGTTGTAGTTGTATTATTTGAATAATATTATAAAAATAAACTCCATATTTATCAACAGTAGGATTAGATCTTTTAAATGGTGTATGGGATGTAGTAGCAATAACGTTTTACAAGCTTATAATTTCCTTCACAAACATAGGCTTCATCTATGACCTCAGAGTCTCTGGGAACTCGGTGTCATGGCAGTAAATGCCTCTGGTTGACTGGTGTTGAAAGAGTTAAACTGGCTTTGACCTGGTCACTTCAAGCTTTTCTTCTTCGTAATGCTGTAATATGACTCAAGAGATCAAACTTCAAAAGCCACTCACTCACTCACTCTGGAAGAGAAACATGTAAAAGTGAAGTCACAGTGTCTTTTTCTGTCTATCACACAAAAAGCATGATTTCATTTACCCACTTGCACTAGGCGCCATTCCATTTTTGCTGTGATATACTGCTGGAATGCTGATGAAAGTGGAGTGCCAACTTTGGTAGTAGGTGTGAATTACACGCTTCCATATGATTTTTGTAGTAAAATGTTTATGATATGTTAAGAAACACTATCACATTGAATAATCGGCTTCACATCATGAAGCATATGATTAAGTTTAATATGGTGATGGGCCTCGTGTAGATACGTGTTTGTGTAAAGCAAGTTGAGACTCCTTAACAGCTGCCGCGACATGTGGCAGATTGAACAGCAGTGACCAGATTGATGAGCCTGATGGTGAAGTAATTAGGACCAGGGCTTACGTTATTTGTAACTTGTCTGCTAGGTATTCTGATAGGTCGTACATGTGCTGTAAGCGGAACGTCCTAGTGATGTGAGTAGTGGCATCTATAGTAGAACTGTCTAGATGACTATTACCCTTGTTGATGTTGGACATCATTCACTGATGAAGAGGCTGAGAAGATGATAAAGAGGCTGAACCAGAAATAATTTGAAGAGTTTGTTTAACCAGAGGTACTTTGTCTGGAAACAAAGATCCTTTCTCCAGTAGATTCAGCCTCCCAGCCAAACATATGAACTGTTTTATTGTCTTTGCGACATGACAGAATGGTTATGGCAGGCAGAGAATTTCGAATTGTGAACTATCTTAGTAGATCGTTAGTCACGTCAGGGATGTGCCAGTAATTGTTAAACCTGTCCTTGTCTTCAGTTGGTACATTTGGAGGCAGAGTGCCATAAACATAAAGCAGCAGAGTAAAGACAACTATTGTGTATCCAAAATTACCAAAATACTTGTGATATGACAAATTTGTCCTTTATTGGGCAGTATTTCATTCCTGACGTTGCGACATACAATGACATCCTCACTACTGGAGTGAATAGAATATTTCGGTATACAGTGATATCCCCACTCTGAAATATTCCTGTAGCACTGCCCTGTCGAACCTTGTGCCTTAGTCTGTCTCACAGTCCCTGAACCACATTATTTTCCCTACCACCTAGCCCTCTCTGCAGTGCTAAAGCTAAAGCCTTAATAGAGCAAGTCTAGATTTCCGCAGGCTCAGGATCTCTGGTCTCCCTGGGGCTCCTTTTCAATTTGAATGGGTTTGTTTGTTACTATCAAAATTATATATATTCAGAGAGTAAGTATTAGTCTACTTGTGTCTGAACACAGCCTTGCTACATGAGTGGATCGAGTACGACATGCCATCTTCAGGTTTACTGCTTTCTTCCTTTAATTAGATTTCTTCAATTATCGCAAAGGCAGGGTGTTCTGACATGAGAACTGACAGTTAGCTTTGCGGGAAATATTACCCAGTAATGGTCAGACTTGGTGAAGGTGAAAATACTCAGGTTATTCTTAAGGAAATTATGCGACTTGTTGAACTTTAGAGTTTAAAAATTAAATGGAACTATTCCATTAATGAGTGTTATATAGCTTGCTCTACATGATGTCGTGGCATTTGTCACATAAGGAATTAATTTATCGTACCATACCAGCCACTGAAATGTCACTGCCCAAATGACCTAGTATTTTATTGGGATAATTATTGTAAATATCATTAGGATGTCACTTGAGGTTTTAAAAGACAAATTGAATTGCACTTGGTCTCATTGCTGACATGCATTGGTAGCCATAGTTTGTTTGTAACATCTGTGATGCAATATTCAAGGTCGTCGCTAACGCCAGAGTTGCCATTACAACTGTCTAGTGTAGTACTGTGTGTTTTGTGTGTACACAACTTCATTATGTCATACAGGCAAATATATGCTGTCCAGATACAACTGTTTGAATAACCCGCTTTTCTGTTTACATTGTGTTCTGTGGACAAGTGTAGATCTTATACTAAAGTTTACATATAGGATAGAGTTTGGGTCATCGTGTCAACTAATCAAATAGTTTGGCTGAAGGAGGAGTCATTTTAAAACCCGACTCACTCACTCGTTCCCTCACAAACAACTCTTGCTCTCACACACAATGGATGAACAAACTTCAAATTGTAAACAACAGCCATATCATTATGTTACTGCTATTTGAAACCTCTGATTGATAATCACAATCTGTTACGTAGAAAACATCCTTATCCAGTTCTAAAATCGGAATCTGTTATGTGTAGCCTAGTTGTGAAAGCGTTTGCTCATCACTCCCGAGGACCGGGTTCAATTCCCCACATGGGTACAATGTGTGAAGCCCATATCTTGACAGCCTAAGACCTGGCCCCGATTTCTTGAAACAAACTGAAGTCTGAGTTTTGACTTAAGTTAACGGTTTTACTCAAATTTGAGAAAACGCAGGAAAATGCATTTTCCAGATTAAACTGAAATTGATATTAAACTCTAACATAGTGGACAGTTTAAGCTTAGTACATTTACTTGAGTTGTTTTAGCTTTTCATTTTAGAAATGCAGTTGAGTTAGAAATTCAGCTGTTTCAAATTGTCAAATTCAGTTTGAAATTTGAGTAAAAACTTAAAATTGTTTAGAGAAATCTAGACTGATTTTATTTTTTGTGAGCAGCTATCATAAAGTTGGAAACTTGCAGAGTGTCGCATAGAACAAGAAGAAATTATAGACAGCAGTTGGACACATTCTTTGCTCATAATTACTTATTTCCATATTCTAACATATCCTTTTCTTGTTCACATATTCTATTGCATGTTTACATATTTGTACACACAGAGGGGTAGTGGGGTAGCCTGGTGGTTTAAGCATTTGATCGCCACAGCGAAAGCCTGAGTTCGATTCCCCACATGGGTACAATATGTGAAGCCCATTTCTGGTGTCCCCTGCCTTGATATTGCTGGAATATTGCTAAAAGCAGCGTAAAACCCAACTCACTCACTCACTCGTACACACTGACGTTTGTTCTCTGTTTTCAGACTGCCAGTACACCTGCCATCACAACTGTGTAGGGTCTGTGACATTAGACTGTACCTCCGTGTCCCAGGGATCTCCGAACGGGGAGGACGCACCCAAAACTGGCAGTGCAGCAGAGACCTCACTATCACAACCAAAACTACGCAACTCACCAAAGTCCAGCATATCTAAAAACAATGTGTTACAAAGCTCACAAAATGAGGATATTTCACAAAGACTTGCACAACTGTCAACGTCGTCGGTACCGGGCGTGGCCCAGCGGGTGGAACAACCCGTGGACAATTCCGTGGATGTGCCAGCAGACAATACCAATGTAAGCAACTCTGTGATATTCTGTGTTGGATATATGTGGCGGTTGGAGCACTGATTTCTGGTTAATGTAAAATATCTGTAGTCCTAACATGTCGCTACGGAGGTAAGATTTATGGAATACTAATATGACTAATTGCACTTGCTTAGTTGATGTGTCTGATCAACTAATCCCTTAATACTTGGAGGCAGTGTCTTAAAGCGGATCAGCTATGAGTAACTGTTGCACAATTTTACTGAAATATCAAGAAATCTGACTGATATAGAAAATGTATCTTATTTAGAGTAATTGTTGATGTCTGCAGATAGTATCACATGCTTCTTGGACATATCCACAAGTTTTCTGTGGCTTTAGCCGCTTGTCCGACTCCCAAGTCTAGTAAAAATCTGTTTGGTCTAATAAGCACAGGTAATAATTGTTCAGTGTAGTGCTTATAAAATTCAACTGAAATTATGCTTAGCGCCATGTTTAGGCCATCCTCGATAATGTCCAGGGTATACGTTACGATAACTCTCCACTATACCCTGGATGCATCTACAGCTCGGCCCGATGATTTTATTACCTCCCTTTGCTGGCTCTGCATTCTCACAGCAGCCAATCAGATATGCCGCCATTAAAACCGAGCTTGCCAGTGTCAACAAAAATAGCGATCGCAGCCGCCAAAGTTTGTTCTCAGTGCGACTCAGATTTGGAAGGGGGAACATACAGACAAATTGACAGGTCTGAAACCTTAAAAAAAATATATCAATGAACTCCTTCTTTCAGAGTATCTGCAACAATATATTATTGTGTTGACAAGTTTAATCGGTTAGATGATTCAAAAAGCGAAAGTGAGTTATGATTGGTATGCTCAACTTCCCAGCGTAGACACCTGATTGGATAAAAATCCAACCAAGGGAGATAATAAAATCATTGGGCCGAGCCGTAGATGCATCCAGGGCATAGTGGAGAGTTATCATAACGTATACCCTGGAGATTATCGAGGATGTGTTTGGGCAAGTCGACTTAAAATGCTTTGGCACTGACTACAGTTGTAATTGATGGATGAGCAAATTCTTCTGATATTTTATTCAAACAGTACATCATTATTAATCCAAACAGATTTCTAATGTCAAAAAGCGAAAATGAGACATGGAGAAAATAATCTTTGTATAAAGGAAAAACTGTGAATATGATCTTTTATCCTCAATTGACCTGCCCTTGAGGTAGGAAAAGACAATTCTGCTTTAACTACATTCCAAACTCTCAAAGTCCTGGAAAGATTTTTTAATTTAAAGTTTTTCTTTATCTGTTCTCTTCTAAATGCTTTTTGAAAAGTAGCATTCCAACATCTGGCCCATCTGGTGTTTGTTTTTTAAATGAATGGGATGTTTTCTGTTGAGTAATATGATCCTGCCCCAGGGCACATGGAAAGGAAGGCAGGTTGCATGACGTTCTCCAAATACACATCTTTCTGTCTATTGCAGAAATCCCATATAGGAAAATTAAAAAAAGCAAGTATTTGGTACCAGTTTAGGTTTTTGCACACGTGTTTTTTTCTTTCCAAATAGTATTTGTGGAGTTGTAGAGGACAGAAGGTTGTGAGCAACTCAGTCCTGTAGACAAGATGCATGTGATTGTTCCTGTCAGCTTTCGAGAAGTATGGCTTGTTTATCATGACCTTGTATGAATGATTCATTTCACTGTCAGGAGTTCCATGGTGTCTTATATTGGGAGGATGGGCTCAGGATATTATGGAAGTGTGATTCCAGTGTGTTGGACGCAGAAATTTCATGAAGTACCCCCAAACTCAAATCCTGTGCGTCCTTGGGGACGCAATATAATATTTTTGTGGGAAAGAACTTTCTGAGTTTGTAATGATATCCCATATTAAAATATAAACATTGTGTTTACAATCATTATTCTAATGAATCAAAGCAACACATATTCTATAATCATTATTGATTGGCAGTATCACATATTGATTTCATGCAAATTGGGGCGGTAAGCATAGTGGTTATTATCAAATGACCCGGAAGCATCCCCACATGGGCATGATCATTGATTTCATGTTGCAAATATTGATGGACTCTCAGAATAAATATGGACTCTCAGAATACATATGCCCTGAGTCCACAATACCCCCACTTTCGAAGAAAGGGGTCAGGGTAGACATTTATGTGTGTATTGTTACGTCAGTCATATCGTTGCGCACCAAATCGGTACATACAGGGGACTAGGGTAGACGTGTGTTAGTTGTGGTATCAGTTGAGGCTAGGGTAGATGTCAGTGTGATAATTGTTTTGAATTGCATACTTGAATGGTAGATAACGTGTGTTAAAGTTCAAATAGGGTGCAATAAATGTAAAGAAAGGTAAATATTCAATATCTCAAAGCAGAGTTATTAGTTAAAAGATTTTCCATAATCACCATATTTAGCATGTTGTTCCAATAATCTCCGTCCCCACAATCCCTGACCAACTTCAAGACCATTTTGCAAGTAATCTTGTGAGCACCTTCTACTGAAACTGAACATTTGCTCCACAATTAATATATTCTTGTGTAAGATGTATGTAATAAATGAAGTATATAACTAAAGATGTATGTAATAAATGATGTATATAACTAAAGATGTATGTAATAAATGAAGTATATAACTAAAGATGTATGTAATAAATGAAGTATATAACTAAAGATGTATGATTAAAGATGATGTATATAACTAAAGATGTATGTAATAAATGAAGTATATAACTAAAGGTGTATGTAATAAATGAAGTATATAACTAAAGATGTATGTAATAAATGAAGTATATAACTAAAGGTGTATGTAATAAATGATGTATATAACTAAAGATGTATATGATAACTAAAGATGTATGTATAACTAGAGATGTATATAATTAAAGATGTATATATATATAACTAAAGATGTACATGATTAAAGATGTATATATATATATAACTAAAGATGTACATGATTAAAGATGTATATAACTAAAGATGTACGTAACTGCGACAAAGACAATCAGTCTACAAGACTCCCTCCCTTGCTCCACTCACTTTCACTTCAAGAAAACATTAACTGCTGGGAATTGTAGTGTAGCATCTTGGGTAATGGTATTTTCAATTCCAATCTTCGCTGAGTGCGATCCTGAGGGGGTGATTACATGGGTTATAACCGTCACAACATTACTGTAGTGGTGTGGGCATATAAAACGTCCAGGAGAGTAAGACCACCCTCTAGCTGGTTGAGTCAGAGGAGCTTCAAAAGGCAGCCTGCCACAGTCACTGATGGGATTTCAGAGTAGGTTCCCGGTACGCCATACATAAGGGAACTTGTTAAATACAATGTGTGACCCAGCTTACTGTGTATCCATGTACACCGACATGATAGTGTATCTGTACCCTGACATGATTGTGTACCTATGTACCCTGACATGATTGTGTACCTGTGTACCCATCTGATATGATTGTGTACCCTGACATGATTGTGTACCTGTGTACCCCTCTGATATGCTTGTGTACCTGTGTACCCTGACGTGATTGTGTACATGTGTACCCTGCTGATATGATTGTGTACCTGTGTACCCTGACATGATTGTGTACCTGTGTACCCCTCTGATATGATTGTGTACCTGTGTACCTTGACATGATTGTGTACCTGTGTACCCAACTGATATGATTGTGTACCTGACATGATTGTGTACCTGACATGATTGTGTACCTGTGTACCCCGATATGATTGTGTACCTGTGTACCCCGATATGATTGTGTGCCTGTGTACCCCTCTGATATGATTGTGTACCTGTGTACCCCTCTGACATAATTGTGTACCTGTGTACCCCTCTGATATGATTGTGTACCTGTGTACCCCTCTGACATGATTGTGTACCTGTGTACCCCTCTGACATAATTGTGTACCTGTGTACCCCAATATAATTGTGTACCTGTGTACCCCGATATGATTGTTTGCCTGTGTACCCCTCTGATATGATTGCGTACCTGTGTACCCTGACATAATTGTGTAACTGTGTACCCCAATATGATTGTGTACCTGTGTACCCTGATATGATTGTGTACCTGTGTACCCCGATATGATTGTGTACCTGTGTACCCCTCTGATATGATTGTGTGCCTCTCTGATGTGAGGATATTTCCGAGAGAGGGAGTATGATGATAATATTGGATTCATACAAAGAACCATAACTTCTGAATAAACTAATAGGCTGAAAATGTCAGTGTGACCTGGATGGAATTTTGTCACTGTGGAACATCTTGCCACATGTGCATAAGTTTAAAATGGAGGCATTTCCTTGATTCGAGGTGAAACTTTGGCAGCCATGGTGGCCCACTGAGTGTTCTGTCGCCAGTCCATCTCCAGTGAATGGTGGGAGCAGTGAGTGAGTGAGGGAGAACTTCTTGAACTTAATCAACTCATAGGTTTTGCATATTGAGTAGTTTAGTTCAAAATTAAATAATTTAAAATTTTGGTAACTTTAATTTCTGCCTGTTGAAATGAATCGAAGTAGTCCTGGTAACACCTTTACTTCATTATATTTCAATAGACAGAAACTAAAATCATTACATGATTTTGGAAATTAAACATCACAGTGACAACAAATTCCACACTTTATTGTCCAATGATATATTAGGGGGAATATTATCAGGGACTTTCCTCCCCCTTGTATTTATGAGTTCAGGGGACTCTTAGTTATACCTTTGGAGGGTCCCAGACATAAAACTGGAGCTCACTGAGTGACAACTGTACCAACAAGAGATCAAATAGGACAACTTCTTTGAGTAGCATTTAAGAGTTTGTGTGATGAACGAGGAGAGTTCTATGGATATACAACTTCTTTAATATTAATGTGAGCTCATATTAATATTAAAGAAGTTGCATATCAATAGAACTTTCCTGTTGTTCATCAAATATGTTTTTGTTGAGCCCTGGGACAAAACAGTAATATTTGTATGGCAAACAGTAAATTTTGTGAAAAGCTGAAATAGAGTTAGTTTTAAGGCTTCAAATCGATATACATTTTGCATCCCATGGGATTTAGAGTACAAAGTAATTCCATCCACAGTTATTTCTATGATTTTAAACATGATGCATTTAATGAAAACTTCGACAATTAAATTTTGAATAATCATATCATTATTTAAAACAAATATATTACATCATCCAAAGAAGAGTAATTGATCTTTGTGCTGTGATAATATCTGATGAAGCAGTAACTGGTGTAGCGTGGCGTGTTTCACTTACTGATGGCCCTATGTGTATCAATATTCCTGTGAATGATGGTAGTATCAACTCTCATTGTATCGATACCTGGATCTTGTATACCTGATGCATATAGGTGACAGCTGGTTAGTCTAGCAGTGGACAGTTCAGCAAGTGGTTGTGGCCTAGAAACTGTTACTAAGGTGGTACATTAATCCCTTTTTGTTTGGTGGGTAATAAATGTGAAATGTAATTAAATAATCATTTAATAATTTGTTTAAAGATATTTTGAAAATAACTATAACCCCTCTGTCGTGAGAATTCAAAGATTTCATCGTCAGGCCAAATCTTTTCAGGAAATGTCATTTTATCAGAATAGTTTTTTCAGTCTCACTTCATATCACCAATTAAAAAGAATTTTAAAAACTAAAGCTAATGCAAAAATAATTTCAAAACCATTATTTCCAGCAGAACAAATGTTGATAGAATCTTACCTTGTCATTAATCAAACTGTTGCATCAGTGACGGTTCGGTTCCCGAGCTGTTTAAAAGCTTTCATATTTACTTGGTGTTGTAAACCTAAGCTAGCTGTACCAAGCTGATACATCAGCAGTAACAACCCAAATAAATAATTAAGTGTTCCCACCCTTTTCCTACAAGAGATTGTTGGGGCGGGGTCGTTTGGCGTACAAGCATGCATGTTCACTGCCAGACTACACCGTGGATGTCGACACGTAATGGAGACCTGGTTAGAGGCCAACTACAGATATGGTTTATCATGTTTCTATGTTTGTGTGTGTTGATGTGTTTTATATTACAAATATTGTTGATAGTTACTTCAAGTAGTTCATACAGGTTAGCGATCATATTGCATGTCTGTTGCCGTGACAACACATCACACCTCACCTTGTTGTTTATTGTGCATGATGTTTTCAAAACGTGATGTATCGTGTTATATATCTGTGTTTCTACATAATCTCCATTGATGTTGGTAATTGTACAGAATGTCATGTTTAAGTTAAATGATGGAATTACTGTTGTCCTTTCTCATGTCATGTGTTTGAGTGTTTTATCATTTTGACAAAATCCATGTGATCAGTTTGCGAGTGGCGGGATGGGAATTAGCCCTCACAATGTTCACTAAGTGGGTCTGTGTATTGAGCTGGTCAATATGAAATATATCTCATCAGTCTGGAAGGGCATGAATAACTCACAATATCTCTGTCTTGTGATTTATCTGTAGCATAGAAGACATTGAATATAGACATTTAGAGTTATTTGTCCTAAATGTCTTACGTAAGAGGTGAGCAAGATGGTCAAGCTCACTCACAAGGTCGATGCATGTGATCACATCTCATTTGCATAGAATGATGCTCTTGATGTGAATCACTGGACTGTTAGGTCTAGACTCAATTATTTACATACTACATTCATACAGCTGGAATATTGCTGTGTGTGACAATAAATAACCCAAATTTTGAGATTTCATAATTTTATGTGAGAAGTAGTACCATCTGTTAGATCAGCAGCATAAGCCCAAATATGGTCATGTGTATTACTTATCGTCATGGAAACGGAAGGCAAAGTAGCTCCTCTTAAATCATGGAAAACTGTAATAATGAGTTTGTGTATCAGTGCTTAGTATACTATGAGAAGAAGTGGAAGGATTACAGGATTAGTTCTAGTCCAAGCACTAATCATGTGTATTGTTTCTAGTCCAAGCACTAATCATGTGCATTGTTTCTAGGAGAAGGACGAGACAGACAGTGGATACCGGTCAGGGACGATTCCCGATGAGAAACTTCCCAAAATGCCAAGCCAGGCAACGCTCAATCGGGATGAATTGAGAAGAAAGATTGCAGAATATAATCACTTGGTGCCTGGATCAGAGTTTGAATTAACGGTGAGACAAGGGAGAGAAGAAAGTCAAGACATCAATGGTTATAAAAACTTTTGGGGAGTGATTGTGGATATATTATTCAGTTTTTTCTAAAATCCATACTAGAAACTAACTGTTAAATAAGTGGCAATTTTATGAGTTTTGACAGCTTTAGGAATACTCCTTTCACGACCAAAACTAGGCTATGCAACAAGTACAGTGTTGCTTTTTGGGTAGTATGGGGCCACATTGAGCTAAGGTATATAAACTGTTACCATTAAGGTGCCCAGGATCCGGTGATCATTGAATCCTGCTGCTATTCAAGCTGTCAGATTATGATTTGTCAGTTGTGAGAGTATCACAGAAGTGGTTCAACAGCTACTATCTGCATTACACACGGCTCTCATCCTTGAACCTGACACTGTGATGTAATGAAAAGGTTACACTCACTCACTCACATGCTCGCTCGATCTTTTTTGTGATCTAGAGAAATAGATGTGTGCATCAAATATGTCCAGTGTATGAAATAAGCCAAATTCCAGTCAGACATCAGGGCTGGTAACTTCAAAATTTGACCAGTCCAAAATGGATTTAACCAGACCAGACACCAAGATATGACTCAGATGTATATAACATCTTAAATCTTTTACCAGACCATCGGCCTGGCTAGCTGGAAATCTAAACCGTCTGTCTGAAATCTAACCCGTCTCAGGCGGTCGGACGGGCCTTATTTCATACACTGATATTACAGATGAAAATTTGAGCAGTTTTAGAGTGACTTTTATCAGGTACTTGACATGGATCTTCAATGTTGGTATTGCAGGGGGAGACGGGAGAAGCATTCCAAGGCTTCATCAAGGTGACGCTGAACCTCATCAGGCCAATCACCATGTCGCTGAGCATGAGGCCGCCGTCCATCTATGACCTGCTCACCAAGGAGCACATCATCGAGCAGAACACACAGTCGGTCTCCTTCTACATGCCCCGAGACACCATCAAGTCCATACATGTGTCCAGGTATATAACTTAATAGTGTTCTACATCGAGACACCATCAAGTCCATACATGTATCCAGGTATATAACTTAATAGTGTTCTACATCCAGACACCATCAAGTCCATACATGTGTCCAGGTATATAACTTTATAGTGTTCTACATTGAGACACCATCAAGTCCATACATGTGTCCAGGTATATAACTGAATAGTGTTCTACATTGAGACACCATCAAGTCCATACATGTGTCCAGGTATATAACTTAATAGTGTTCCTCATCGAGACACCATCAAGTCCATACATGTGTCCAGGTATATATCTAAATAATGTTCTACATGCCCCGAGACACCATCAAGTCCATACATGTGTCCAGGTATATAACTTAATAGTGTTCTACATTGAGACACCATCAAGTCCATACATGTGTCCAGGTATATAACTTAATAGTGTTCTTAATAGTGTTCCTCATCGAGACACCATCAAGTCCATACATGTGTCCAGGTATATATCTAAATAACGTTCTACGTGCCCCGAGACACCATCAAGTCCATACATGTGTCCAGGTATATATCTAAATAATGTTCTACATGCCCCGAGACACCATCAAGTCCATACATGTGTCCAGGTATATAACTTTATAGTGTTCCTCATCGAGACACCATCAAGTCCATACATGTGTCCAGGTATATAACTTAATAGTGTTCTACATTGAGACACCATCAAGTCCATACATGTGTCCAGGTATATAACTTAATAGTGTTCTACATTGAGAACCATCAAGTCCATACATGTGTCCAGGTATATAACTTAATAGTGTTCTACATTGAGACACCATCAAGTCCATACATGTGTCCAGGTATATAACTTAATAGTGTTCCTCATCGAGACACCATCAAGTCCATACATGTGTCCAGGTATATATCTAAATAACGTTCTACGTGCCCCGAGACACCATCAAGTCCATACATGTGTCCAGGTATATAACTTAATAGTGTTCCTCATCGAGACACCATCAAGTCCATACATGTGTCCAGGTATATATCTAAATAACGTTCTACATGCCCCGAGACACCATCAAGTCCATACATGTGTCCAGGTATATAACTTAATAGTGTTCTACATTGAGACACCATCAAGTCCATACATGTGTCCAGGTATATAACTTAAAGGTCACATGCAACGTAAAACACAACTTTGCAGATTCTAATACCTTTCGGTATGGACTTACCGAAACAAAGCGTCAAAAATGCAAATTCAACTTATAAAGTTGAAAAATAACGCGATGGAAAAAAACGCGCGAAATCGGAGTTCAAACGTTTCACTAATTTTCCCCAGACTTTTCTGGGGAATACGGGTTTCAACAGCTGGGCTGCGCTCATAGCACGTGCGCAGTGAAATAGGTTCGCGCAACTTGGAAGCGGGCTGTCTGGTGAATACTCGGTGAAGGCTTTGGTGTGAGCAATTTTCATAATGTTTTGTTGATATCTCACAGGCGAGCTTTTATATGTTATGACAGTAAATAAACTGTTTATATAATTTCATTTGTCTATTTCACCACACGTTCTTCTTACCGAGTCACTTTCTCAGTTCGATACTTAAAAGCAATGTCATTATTGAGCGTTGACACAATTTCTAACTGTGATATAGATATGTCGCTGTCACAGACAAAACTCAATGTCTTGTTTTATTGACACCTGTGTGTCTGCCTGCCTGTCTGCTAATGACAATATTCAATACACAACTGCGATCACTGACCACATGCAATTTGAACTTAACACCAATCAGGCTATACACCATAAACAAAACGCATTGATTTATGGCCCGAGTTCGGTCTCTGTCACATTATGTAATTACACAGACAGGCAGGTGTGATACTTGAACACATGACATGTTATGATGTCTGTTGATTGCAAAATGTTATACACAAAAAATGAGCATGTATTTACAAAACCCAACATCTCTATATATACACACACAATGAGCCGTGAAGGAGGCATCTGCTAATGAACCAGCCGTTACACTTGAGTGCACACCCACCCGCTCTGACTGGGTTCGGTATCCCGGCTGCTTCGTTTCTTGGGAAGTAAACCGAAGTACAAAATATTGCACTTTTGATTTGCGATTATACGCTTATAATTTTGTTTATTTGTTTTTTCATAATCAGCAATGCATATTATGTCATGAAGAAGTGATAATTGTGTTTTTATTATGTTTGATTATTTGGTTGCATGTGACCTTTAATAGTGTTCCTCATCGAGACACCATCAAGTCCATACATGTGTCCAGGTATATATCTAAATAACGTTCTACGTGCCCCGAGACACCATCAAGTCCATACATGTGTCCAGGTATATAACTTAATAGTGTTCCTCATCGAGACACCATCAAGTCCATACATGTGTCCAGGTATATATCTAAATAACGTTCTACGTGCCCCGAGACACCATCAAGTCCATACATGTGTCCAGGTATATATCTAAATAATGTTCTACATGCCCCGAGACACCATCAAGTCCATACATGTGTCCAGGTATATATCTAAATAATGTTCTACGTGCCCCGAGACACCATCAAGTCTGTACATGTGTCCAGGTATATATCTAAATAATGTTCTACGTGCCCCGAGACACCATCAAGTCCATACATGTGTCCAGGTATATATCTAAATAATGTTCTACGTGCCCCGAGACACCATCAAGTCTGTACATGTGTCCAGGTATATATCTAAATAACGTTCTACGTGCCCCGAGACACCATCAAGTCCGTACACGTGTCCAGGTATATATCTAAATAACGTTCTATGTGCCCCGAGACATTATCAAGTCCATACATGTGTCAAGGTATATGTCATGTGTCCAGGTGTATGTCTAAACAGTGTTCTACATGCCCCGAGACACCAAGTCCATACACATGTCCAGGTATATATCTAAATTATGCTCTACATGCCCCGTAGACACCATCAAGTCCATAGATGTGTCCAGGTATATATAATGCTCTACGTGCCCCAAGGCACCATCAAGTTCTAACAGTTACTTATGTGAGAATGATATTTTTCCAGTGAGACGACTACGAAGGAAGTTGTAGCAGCTCTGCTGAAGAAGTTCCACATTCTGGATCACCCTCGCAAGTTTGCCATGTATGAACAGGAGTTCTCCAAAAACAAGCTTGGTGAGTACACAGACAGAGGGCCCCTCTCGGTGTATTCCACAACCTACATAGTACCTCCGTCAGCAATGGAGGAATGATACAGCAGGAATTCACTACAAACAACACATCCTTTACTCTATAGTTTTCAGAACAGAAATTTGATGAGCACTTTGATTTGAAGAAGTGTTATAGAAACAATTGGAAAAGCTTTGTAAAGTTCATGACAGCAGCCAGGTCAGTGTCATGTGATGTGTCATGTGATGTGTCATGTGACATGTCATGTGTTGGTCACATGCAGCAATCTAGGCCCATTGTCAAGTCTTGACTTTGTCCAGTTTGCATGCCTGTCTAAAATCAGGTTGAGTGATATGGCTGTTTGGGCAAGGGGAGGTAATCATCCACTATGAGATGGGTTACACTCAAAAGAAGACTGGAGAGTGTTTGATTCTAACAATATATATTCTAATTTTCAGTGAGGCTGAAGAGAGTTGGTGACAAGGACTACCCTCTGCAGGTCTTCCTCAACTGGGACCCACGTAGATTTACAAACTACCGCCTGGTACTACAAGAAAATGAGACAGGAGAGATAGTGGTAAGTTGTGCTGGTAGATATGAGGCTGTAGATGTCTCAGTCCCACATTTGTACCTCTGAAGGCCATCTTACAATGCTTCACATATAAGAATTTATAGTCAGGTAGCAATCGTTGATCAGCTGACTTATTCCTTCTTTTTTAGAGTTAGAAAGAATAGACTTGACGATATCGCGTATTGAATTTGTAAATTTTTCCTTATCCTGACTCATGCTCTTTTGCTTGTCTTCTTCTTCTTGCGAACATAGTGGAACACTTGTATCTCCTTAATTGAAGCTCCCTTCAATGTAAAATCACTAATTGGTACTCACCACGAGTTGCCTCCCTTGCCCTTTTGGCGGGAACAGGTGTCGCCACCCTCTGGCCTCATGCTTCACTCTCTCCTTCTTCGCCCAGTGAGCAGGATGTGAGCGCGCCTGTGTCTCCTTACACACTATATCCTTTGGTTTTTTCTTAGTTTATTACCTCTTATAGGTTACTATAGAGGTATAGCTAGTATCCTTCATTAATTTGCATTGATATTTAATCGTATTTCTACCGTTTATTCACGGAGTTCGCGGATTGTTCAGCTAGTATTTACGCTGATGAAAATCTGTACTATTTGCAATTTACGCTTTTCAATTGCTGACCCGCATGTATTATGCCCTAGTTGTGCTACGCGCCTTGTAGCGTTTGATACACGCTGCAGTTACTGCATTAATCTATCCAATTCTGCTTTTCATAAATATCTTTAAGTCGTGAGGCGTACACGCGCAGATAGGTCACGCAAAAACAAGGGTTAGACATGGCCGATACATCGATTCCCCTTCCAGTCAGCTGCTGTCGATAGACCCTCCCGCCTGGTGTGTTTCGCAAGAGACTCCGCCGGAAGATGGGCGTGGGATGCAGTCCGCCAACACTAAGAAGCGCCCTGCCTCCCCAGACGCCCCGGCCATCGCAGATAAAGTCCAAGAGGGCCACGACGTCTTCCCAACGCAGACTTCGACCCCAGGGCAGCGTCGACATCTAAGGGGAAGTCTACGGTCGCCAAGAACTTTCTCAGCCGAGATTGTTCCAGCCGCCGAACTGGGCCTCTACGATGATCAGCCGATCATCATCCCTGACGACGCCACAAGAAGCTTAACCGGGTGACAGCTACAGTGACATCAGCAGAGATCGCCATGCAGCCTGATGCCTCTACACTGATGTCAGACGACTTCCCTGAGGGGTCAGCAGCTGTCATCGCAGAGAGGGCACCGACTACTTCTGCCGTCGCCCAGACCATCCCAGACGAGCTGTTGCGGCAGATCATGACCATGATGGAGGGCCACTACAGTCGGGGAAGCAGCCAGCCCAGGGCCCGAGCAACGCAGACGATACCCCCAGAGGCACCCCCAGTCAGCGTAGCAGCCACGACGAAGCAGCCTTCGGTGAAGGAAGTCACAGACCACCTCAACGAAGGGCGCAGATGTACAGTCGTCGCGAAGGCCTTCGCGAAGACGGAGAGATCGTCATCATCCTCGGCCTCGCCCTCAGATGCAGACTCAGACCACCAGACGCCACGGAAACCGTCCACGGAAGTCAAGGCGCCGCCCCAGGTCCGGACGCAGAGGAAGCTGCACGGCGGCCGCCACACAGATCGTCATCGCCCCAGAAGGACGCCGAGGGACTATTCAAGAGCTTCACGAAGGCCGTCAACATTCTCCTCGCAGATCTAGGTCTTCCCATAGACGCAGATCACCTAGACGATCTCCACGCCGCTCACCACGCCGATCTCCACGCACATCACCTCGCAGGTCATCACACAAGTCGGCACACAGGTCTACACTCAGGTCTCCCGAGTGTCACCCGACATAGAGATAGCAGCCCAGAGGTCACCATCAGAAGAGCATCAACCTCTCATCTCCGATGCTGGTACAGAAGATGATGGAGGCATCATCTTCTCAGACGCTGAGATAAGATATTGGATGGTAAACAACCTAGATTTATCTTCACCGTCCAAGAGTGGCAACTCAGCGCAGACATACCTGATGAAGGAAGACGATGCAGACGCCATCACCTTACCTCCGATCGACCCGATTGCCGCGGTGCCACATAATCTAGATACAGCCTTCATTAAAGCTACGAAAGTGCAGACTCCACATCTGCCGAACTTTCACGCTAAGAAGTTCTCCACGCACAACATGGACCCCTTCCTGAAGGCACAAGACATCGATGAAAACTACAAGCTGATCAGCGATGTTAAGAACAAGAACTACAAGATTGACGATCGCAAGCTGGTGCAGATAGAAAACATGACGAGACGCATGTTCTTTGGCCTAAATAGATCTAGAACGATCAATGAGACACTTATCACCAGATTTCGTAATACGACCTCTGAAGATGATAGGATGATCTACTCGGCCCTACTGATGCAAAAGAAGGACCAGCAGTTCCTTACAGATCATCTCACATCTGTCTCAGCAGCACTGACCTTAGCTCGTCGTCAAGGCCTCCTCGCTTCCTGCAGCTGGGGTGAGAACTTTACAGCTCCACTCTATACAGCCCCGCGGGTCATCCCCAAACATCTTTGACGGAGGAATAGACAAAGTCTCCAAGGAAGTCACTAAGGACTCCAGAGAAGTCCTTATGATCAAGTCGATGGACACGCTTAGCAAGCCATCAGGCAGACTTCACAAAGATACTCAGGGAGATCTAAGTTCTCGGACTACAGAAAGCACGGATAGGAAGATAGCCAGCGCAGGGGAAAGATTCTTTTAAGTCGCCCATATGGCAACTATAGAGGAGGGTCAGGAAGAGGCAGGACACCCAGAGGTTCCCGCAACTATAAACGCTGAAAGACAGGTTCGGAACGACTGGAGTCTTCCACCCCCAGCCGTTCCAGTACAACCGCCACAAGTGGGTGGACGCCTCCAACTACACTGGGAGAACTGGGGAATGTTAAAAGACCCTTATGTCTCCAACATTCTTCAACACGGATTTCAGATCCCACTACAGGCCACGCCTCGCTGACAGTCAACCCTTACAAGTTCGACTTACAGGCACAACAACTACCAAAGTTAAGAGAGGCGGTTACATCACTCATAACCAAGCAGGCCATAGAAGTACTAGATCAAGTAGACATCGAACCAGGCTTCTACTCCCCAGTTTTCCTAGTACCCAAGAAAAACTCCAAGGAGAAATACAGACTCATTTACAACATGAGCTTTTTCAACAGGAATTATCTACGAAAACCACCAAAGTTTCGCATGATACACCTTCCTCAGTTACGCAGTTGATTCGCCCCATGGATTACATGGCCAGTATAGATCTGCAAGACGCTTTATCTACATATCCCGATACATCCCTAATCCAGGAAATATCTAAGATTTACACTAGACGGGCTACATTACCAATGGAAAGTAATTCCCATTCGGCATATCATCAGCCCCTGGCTATTCAATGAGGATAACGAAACCTATTGTCACCTATCTACATCGCCTAGGGCTACGCGAGTGCTCTACCTCGACGACGGGATACAAGTAGATCAAGATCCACAGCATCTCAAACTACAGTTAAACTACATCATAAAGCTACTAACACAGCTAGGATGGTTAGTAAACTTACTCAAGTCGGACCTAGTACCATCGCAAGATCTGCAGTTCCTAGGCATTCGATTTATCACGAATCACAACCGTATCGTCAGACCAGAAGACCGCTGGCTCAAGATCCAACAGACCATTCCACAGCTTCTACTCTCCGCTACCACTACTTACAATGGCAGAGCCGTGTTGGGTCTCTCACATCAGCCCAAGACATGACAGTCTCAGGCAGATTACAGTTACGCCCATTACAGGTCTTCATCAATGCACATCTCGACGACCTACAACCATTCAGTCTACCGAAACGCCTCAGACCTCATCTACTATGGTGGACCAGGAGGTCGAATGTTTCATGCGAAGGTATTTGTTTAGAAGAGCAGGAATTCAAAACCCATCTATATGTAGACGCGCCGCCCAAGGTTGGGGAGCTCATCTCGCCAACCGGACGGCATCAGGGTTATGGAATCAGCAAGAAAGCAAGCTCCATATAAACATGTTAGAGATGAAAGCTGTAATCAACGCCATACTTCATTGGAGCAACATTCTACAGAATGCGACTTAATGATTCATACCGACAACTCGACAGTGGCGCTTCTATGTGAACAAACAAGGTTCAACAAGATCACTGAACCTATTGACTTTAAGCTTTCAACTGTTCGATCTAATACACGATCTAAACCTACATGTCAGAGCATGTCACATTCCCCGAGCCAAGAATGTACTAGCAGACGATTCTCTCGCCACATCAACCGCCACCGACAGAATGGATGCTCAATACAGAAATATTTGCACAGATAATCAAGCAAATAGGAGCCGCTAGTAGATCTATTCGCAACACGCCTCAACAATCAGCTACCGACATTCGTGTCACCAGTCCCAGACCCACAAGCATGGGCAACGGACGCCTAAGCATATCCTGGAAGGGCCTCAATGCGCACGCCGCTTCCGCCAGCAATAATACCTCAAGTGTTACAGAAAATCAGACAAACACAGAGCCTCCAACTCACTTTGGTCGCTACTCTACTGGTCGGCCAGAACGTGGTTTCCCATTCTAATTCAAGAAATCGGTCAACCAACACTAGAGCTACCCAAGCTACAAATCTATTAATACATCCACACACCAAACAGGTGCACGGAAGCCCAGAAGTATTCCAACTTCACGCATGGACTGTATTAAAATGTGTTTAAACAAGAGAGGGTATTCTACCAGGGCGGCAAAGCGTCACGCTTGCCTTACGCTTATTCTACACGAACTTGTAATGACGACAAGTGGCACAGTTTTGAGAATTACGCAGTAAATAAGGGATTTACAGCAAGAGATGCTACTCATCCACAAGTGGCAGATTATTTGTGTTACTTACGGCAAAACAAACATTTAAAAGGCTCGACATTGTCAACATATCTTGCCGCTTTTAGTTCTGTCATTACCATGAGAACGGGTGTTAGATTAACAAGAACTCCAGAGTTACTGGCCTTACTACGGGCTTTCCGATTGAGGACCAAAAGCGGAAGTTCCACGCCCAGCTTGGGATCTGAATATAGTGTTGCAACACCTCACAAGTGAGGCTTATGAACCGCTGGAATCGACAAACTTTGAGCTTCTCTCACAGAAAACGCTTTTCCTGTTATCTCTAGCCACAGCAGCCAGGATGTCGGAAATTCACGCACTAGATTATGAGAGGATACAGTTTGATGACAATCAAAACACAGCACACCTGGGATTAAGATGGGATTTCATCGCCAAAAATCAACTACCAGGTCAACCAGACAGGTTATTTCATATCCCTGCATTATCCTCCATTCTCGATCTCAAGATACACTGGACTTATCTCTATGCCCAGTCAGAGCTCTCAAAATCTATTTTACGACGCTCCAAAACAAGGCTTAAGATTTCTCAAACGATTATTCATTCCCTTGTCGGCAACAACTCAGACAGAAGTCTCTCGCACCACCATATCTATATGGATAAGAACTGTCATACTTCTCAAGCCTACAAGGCAGCAGGACTGGACCCTCCAACAGCATCAAATCCCCATGAAATCAGGGCGTTAGCCTCCACTCTCGCCTTACACGGTAACTGTTCTTTGAATACAATTATGGAAGGATGCTTTTGGAAATCTAACATGGTGTTTGCTAATCACTACCTGAGAGATATCACCACCGAGGACGTCTCAGGCATTCACCATTTCAGTCCCTTGGTCCTCGCACAGCAGTTGACAGTCCCTCTTAAACGTTAACACGTAGTCTTACGAGATTAATATGCATAATTGTTACATGCATTATCTAGCTTATAACTCTACGGAGTTCTAGCAGTATGTATATATGTTCAGTGGTATAGCTTCTCTATCAGAGTCGCTTTGATATTGTTGTTTATAATATCTCAGTATATCATAATGTAAATACCCCAGTATGGCATTATAACCTATGGCTTATAATAGAGGAATTATCCTAAGTCTATGCCTTTATGAAGTTCCCGTAGGGGTTATTACAGTTAAATCTATATAAATCACTAATTCTATAAATCCAAAGTATTCTGTTTTGCCCACCTCCGTTTCCGTTAGGATTCTACAAGCAAAAGAGCATGAGTCAGGATAAGGAAAAATATGTAATTTTTTGAGTAAAATTGATATTTTATACTTATCCTGACTCATGAGGTTAGCCCTCCCATCCTCCCCACATAACACTTTGGATTTCCCTGTAAATTCAAGTGTTGGGCTCGCAAAATCAGGAGAGAGTGAAGCATGAGGCCAGAGGGTGGCGACACCTGTTCCCGCCAAAAGGGCAAGGGAGGCAACTCGTGGTGAGTACCAATTAGTGATTTTACATTGAAGGGAGCTTCAATTAAGGAGATACAAGTGTTCCACTATGTTCGCAAGAAGAAGAAGACAAGCAAAAGAGCATGAGTCAGGATAAGTATAAAATATCAATTTTACTCAAAAAATTACATTTTCGGAACTACTTTCACTGTCTGTTTTCAGAGAAGTAATGTGAAAATCAGTAATAGATAAGACATTAATATTTTCTTGTCAAATATAATCTTATCAAATGACCTGACAAAGATGACATTTTCACTCTTAGCAGCTCCTTTTAGAGAAGATGTAAATATCCGTGTGTTGTCTTGGCTGACTTGTGTCATTGAGGCTAGACGTGCTCATATGATTAACCACCCTTCCTCACTCACTCACCCACCCCATCACTCACTCACTGGAGCGGTGGGGTAGCCTAGTGGTTAAAGCGTCCACTCATCACGCCGAAGACCCGGGTTCGATTCCCCACATGGGCCACTTTGTGAAGCATATTTCTGGTGTCCCTGTCGTGATATTGCTGGAATATTGCTAAAAGCGACGTTAAACCAAACTCACTCACTCACTCACTCACTCAGTATCACTCACTCACCCACCCCATCATTCAATCGATGATCTCTGTTCCAGTGGGAAGGCTTCAGTAGGCCGGAGCTGAATAACTTCCTGAAGGTGTTGGACCGTGAGGAGGAAGAGTGGCGTGAGCCAGCTCCACTACAAGTACAAGGTGATGAAGAGGATCATCAACCAGAGACTCAAGGAACTCAGGAAAGAGCGCAAGACCTCCGGCACCAGCCCATCCTGACACTGGGACACCCCTGTCGTAGTCGCTGCCGCTCCACAGTCACGCCTACAAAGACGACTCTCTTGACGGGGACTCCCAGCAAAGAGGAGACAACCCTTCCTTTTTGAAAATCTGAAGGGATTTTGAGCTTTGTTGCGACTAATTATCAGCCATTCCTGTTTTAACACTTACATCAGCTCTACTTTTAGGCCAGAAGAATTTTTATCTTGGTTTTAAACAATTCTGCTCTGAATCTTTTAGAAGTAAAGACGTGTGCAATAAAACACTACATTATAATGTTTTTTCAATTTTGGTTTAGAATATTTCATTAAGAATATGACCTCAGATCAACCCCAGAAACACTGTTTTATATTTCTTGTAATTACAGAGAAATGTGTACAAAAAGAAATTAAATTGGTCTGGTCTTTTAATAGATTGATGTTAATCCTGAACATTGAAAGCCAATATGCGCTTCTGTTTAATATGGAAACATTGATACCATTCATGTACATTACAGATCTTGGTACAGATTTCTCTACCACTTCTGTCAGTTGTCTAAGGTTGTACTTGCAGACATGACCTGCTTCTTGTATAATGTCTGCAAATGCCAGTGCCTTGGTTTTCTTGAGAGAGCCTTAACACTGTAGATACTGTGACAAACCATGTGATATTACTGGAGATGGAGGGGAAGGGGACGATGACAATACATGCAATGTCTCTAACACTCAAATATGTCATTCAATTTCAAATATTGTTGCATCATGAGGGCTTATGTTTCGTCATTGTTCAGCACTATGATGAATAGTTGTCATTTAAGGCGCTGTTTAGTTTCAATGCATTGCTGTATTTCACTATTTTCACATTATTCTTTTCAAACCTGCAGATATAGAATGTATTTATGTTATGCAAAGATCTCTCCCATAATTTTCCTTGTGCATAATCTGTAATGGGACTTTTGTTTGGGGGCGTGTCTGTTTCTCAAGTGTGTTGCACAACACATTACATTATGAGGTTGTTGATGCACCTTCTTTGACAAGCTGCACCAGGTGCCCTGTACTTCTGTCGACAGCTGCTACATGGGACAGATTGTCAACACCTGGTGTCCACAACCATCAGGTCTTTTATGTGGAGAGAAAATGAACTTCTCTTGTGTGATAGGCTGTGATTTTTAATGTATTGTTGGACATACACTTAGATCTATCTTTGATCAATCTTTGATCAATGTCAGTTTTCTTTAAATGTCATACTTTGTTGTTGAACACAGCTGAGAATGTTTCGTTGGTTAAATGTTGACAAAGAATATCCTTGTCAGGAATTTTTGAATGAAATCAATAGTTCAAAACTTTGCCATTATTGTAACGAAAGCATGTTTCTATCCTGCCAGTCTAAGTAAACTTAGGCTCAGTATTATTCGTTACACTGCTATACTGAGTCTAACAAAACCTAGTAGAAGGTCGCGTCAGCTAACCTTTGAGCGACCTATGACCGTCCAATCAAACGCGAGACGACCGAACGGATTTTACCAATCAGATGACGACTACTTGTTAGGGTTCGCAGGGACTTACAAAACGTTTTTTGGATTTTCTCTTCCCTGGTCGCTGACACTGATCTCTCAACAAACGAAAATCACATAAAACACAGATATTTGACCTGCAGTATATACGCTTATGGGTTTCTAATGACATGGTTACTATTTGCTTATATTTTCGCAAGATGACATCCTTGAATATTGACAAAAACGCTATTTTCAGCGACTGTTTACTCATTGCGTGTATCACTCGGAAGCAATCGTGCGGAAAATAGCATTCAGAATCGTTCCAGTTTTTTAGGTAAAGGTTCAAACGGTATGTGCGAATGTTAACTTTTGCGATTTGATAAGCTGTGTTTTGATTGGTCTGTCCGAATGCTAGGTTTTGTTAGACTCAGTTTAGCAGTGTTACGAATAATACTGAGCCTAAGTTTACTTAGACTGCTATCCTGCATACATCTGTGAAAATATTGTGACCCTTCTGATTGGTTCATATGGAAAGGTTAACATACAGATTATTGTCCATCAGCTTTTCCGATGTGTATGTATGGATAGGTTAACATACAGAATTTTGTCCTTCAGCTGTTCCGATGGGTATGTATGGATAGGTTAACATACAGATTATTGTCCATCAGCTGTTCCGATGGATATGTATGGATAGGTTAACATACAGTATGTTGTTCTTCAGCTGTTCCGATGGGTATGTATGGATAGGTTAACATACAGATTTTGCTCCTTCAGCTGTTGGTTTTATCTGTGTCAGTCATCTATAACAGATTTGCCCTCATGATTTAGCCCTGGATCCGCAGTATTGTGATGTGTTTTGTGAATGGTTTCAAATTGTCAAAATATATTCATGCACATAAAGCTATTCCTTGCACAGAATTCTCAGATGGCTATCATTTGTGCACTGTTTCTCGAAGGATCTCCTTGGGTTATTTGTCATAATTCCATACGACAGCTTCTCTTAGTAAATATGACTAGTCTCGTGACATCAGTACCTGTCCTACACTGTGCAATGGTCAGTTACATGGTACTGCTTCCCTTTGAACTATTTAAGACACTTTAAATATGCATTGTAGGTCATCAACTGTTTGTGTTTGTAACCATGGTAACATCTAGTCAGTTCATTTTGAATCTGGATGGTGTTGTACAGAGTAACCTTAACGCTACAACAGTTGTAAGACTATGTATGGGAGTTAAATCACCTTAACACTAAGATGGCTTTGTACAACTGCACCCAGTTCTCAGTGGAACACATTTGCTAAGCTTTACACAAAACTGGTTCAGAGAAATCCATCATACATATTCCATCCAAATAATCAGACGCTTCACATTATCATGTCCATCTTCTGTCATCAGGGATACCAACCGTGCCTTACCGTACGGCATTCCTGCAACCCACAATCATAATGTATACCGGATTGGCTGTACATAGTGTAGAAGTCCTTGTACATTGTGGTGCAGTGTATGAACATTGTGTCGAAGAGCTTGCACGTTGTGTCATGGTGACTGAGTGCTTGTTCATTCTCTCGTAGTGCTGGGGTGCTTGCATATTGTGTTGGTGTTCAGGATATTGTTTACATTTTGTGTCCGAACAGGATGTGCAGGCTTACCAATCAAGGCTCTGTGAATATGGAGGCTACCTGACCAATCAAGGCTATGTCCTCGCTGTATGCAGGCTACCTGACCAATCAAGGCTCTGTCCTCGATGCATGCAGGCTACCTGAGCAATCAGGGCTCTGTCCTCGGATGTATGCAGGCTACCTGACCAATCAAGGCTCTGTCCTCGATGTATGCAGGCTACCTGAGCAATCAGGGCTCTGTCCTCGATGTATGCAGGGTACCTGACCAATCAGGGCTCTGTCCTTGATGTATGCAGGCTGCCTGACCAATCAAGGCTCTGTCCTCGATGTATGCAGGCTACCTGACCAATCAGGGCTCTGTCCTCGATGTATACAGGCTGCCTGACCAATCAAGGCTCTACCCTCGATGTATGCAGGCTACCTGACCAATCAAGGCTCTGTCCTCGATGTATGCAGGCTGCCCCACCAATCAAGGCTCTGTTTTTGATGTCTGCAGGCTTCCTTACTAATCAAACAGGGATAGTTTTTGATATCAACTTTGCGTGATATACAGATTACTGTTGCCAAACCAAAACATGAGGTGTGTACTTAAGACTGAACTAAATAACCAGCAATATCACCGACTTACAAGAAAGGCATATGAATGTTATGAAATTTAGGACTAAATGTTTAGATTTGACCTTGACCTTGATCTTTCTGGTCTGTCATCAGGTAAAGGAGAAGGTTAATAACAAACTATATTACCTACAAGTATTGTTATAACAGCATTCTTTGGCCAGGATGTGTGGTATTGTTAGGGATGTAACAACATTACGGGCTGTGAATAAATCTCATTACTTGCAGTATGTTTCAGGATGTAAAGGAGATATGCTGGATAGTTTTTAAATTTCAAGGGAAATGTTCAAATGACAGTTAGCGCTAAGTCTTTCAAGAATCCATAGTGATGTTTAGTTCTTTCGATATGTTGATCATGTTCTTTAAATGAATACCGGTAACTAAAATTCATAAATTATTTTATGATGGATTTTATATTCAAAGTTAGGTTCAGCCAATTGTTTCTATGGCAACACAGCCCTTGTATATTATAGTGTCTGCATTACTGTTGTGTTATGTCCAATGTTGTTTTCCACTGACCCGTAAAATCAACAATGTTACACATCTGTTAACTGAATTCTCAAATTATTAAAAATAATATTATTTATTGTGTGCATAATTAATAACATATTTCATCCTTTGAAATATTTCTGTAGATATTGAACACCTGTGATGGTTTCTTGTTTTTTCTATTTCCTACCAATAAGTACAGATAACAACGACAAAAAAATCTCATTTCTTCATTCTCATTAAAATCAGTTATCGACACACTAGCAGAGTAAAAGATTTGGTTTTAATCATTTCTTTGGACCAGTGATGTACATCAGTCATTATTTATGATTATCCGGCTTCAAAACTGGTTTCATGAAACACCAAATGAAACTAAAATTTCATCGCTGCCATGAGAAGTGTTATAACGGACTGGTCTGTATGTGACTATGTCTGTGGTTTTAGTAATGTGTTGTTGCCTTGAAACAAGCATTATTTTAAACTATTTCTAGTTGCCATGGTCTTTTGTTCTTATGTATCCATCATGTGAGTGAGTGTTGCATCTGGCTGCGACGGCAAGTGTGGAGTTGTTTGTGACCCATATTTCAATCTGAGTTATATGATAGACATCACATCCATGTTTAGGGCTGATATATACTACTCACACTTTGCTAAGGATCACAAAAATTCGCGACTTTACTTAAACATAGATTTATAATATCAAATTGTATCCATTTAAAACTGGATAAATAATGATATGGTTACACATCTTTAGGAAAACAGCCACTTTAATCTAACCTTATGCACTAGATACACGAGTAACCATCAAAATGGTTTTCATGGCACCAATCAACCATTTTGCAAATCATGGAACAAGTCATTGACAAGTACACAACACCTGTCAATAGCAGGTATGGGATCCACAAGATGCAGTGACATACTGAAACCTAGGATCCATGCTTATAATAGGCTTTGATATTTAAACCGAATTTGACCCCACATCATAGTTTTCTGTTGAATCAATGATCTGATCCTTAGAAAAGTGTGAATAGTATATGTTGCTAGCTAGAATATTGCTGAGTGCGGCATAAAAGTAAACTCACTGATATATGTTGCTAGTTCAATCAGACTTGAATCAAAGTAGGATACCTATCAGACCTATGTAGAAGGTCGTCTCATCATATGCTGGTTCATATATGACTTCTCCGTTACAAACCTGGCCTCGTCCCAGATGCTTTTTGTGATGTCAAAATCAGCTCAGTTTCAATGATCTGAGCTGTGGTTTTCCTGATTCTCTTTACAAGCTAAATATTTCAACTCAGTGTCAGATTCTGGGCTAGATATTATTTCTGTTTACCATGAAGCATTTACTCCAGCCCGTTCAACAGTTGCTGTTACTCAAGTGTGTTTTCATATCACAAGTATGCACAGTATTCTCTGCCAACTGTAAACAGATTGTTCTCGTTTTTAGTCTGATGTTGTCTTCCACAAGATATGAACAATCATTGTAAAGCGGCCTTCACGTGGCAAACTAAAGTTTGACTACACATGTTGTCGAACTGGAGTTTGAGAGTGAACATTCCAACAACTCACCACCAACACCAATTTCAGAGTTGTCAAATTGTTGTCTAGAAATATGATTGGTCTCTATTTTCACCAACTTTACATCAAACTTTCAGTGTTGTCAAACTCGAGTTTGACGTGTGAAGTGTTGTCAAACTCGTGTTGTTCAGAAACAACCATTCGCAGTCAACGAAATTGTCACGTAACTGCACCAATAGAGACATGGCGCTCAAATGACCACGAAAGTTTGCAATGTGTTTGACATGTGAAAACGCTAGTTTGACAACTTTTAACATTTTAACGTGTTGTCAAACTTTAGTTTGCCGTGTGAAGGCCGCTTAAGAGGTATTTTGTTAAATAGATTATTTTGCACACACTATCAGAAATGCAAGATCTTTCTAGAGCCAGCTTGGGATCCATGTGGTTCCGATTAGTGAAATGTTATTATCATGTTGTTGAAATCATTATGAGCGTGTTGACAGCGTTGTCAACGTTGCATTGTACAAATGTACATACATATTAAAATATTGTTGTCTAGCGTACTTGAAAAATGTCACAAAATCAGCTCACTTAACTGTTGAGGAATGAAAAATACCACGGTAGAATGATTTTTGGAATAAAATATTTTAAAATTCAGAATCATATCTTGTATTTTGTCATTGTTTACACACATGGTTCAGTAAACACATGACAGAGTGTCATCCCTTGGCTGTGCCAGGATCTGATACTGGTCCTGGGATAACAATCATATCTTACTTCTATTCACATCATACATCACTAGAGTTCCATACCTTGGTCATTCCAGGATCTGCTACTAGTCTAATGGACAAGAATCCCCCCTGGTTATGAATGTTTGCCAGTACCATGCTCCTCATATCCACTGTACCAAATTAATTAATATCAACAATCATCACCACTTCAGGTTTTCCTTTTCCCAGGGTAAGTTGGGGCCATTTTAGTGATGATTTCTTTAGGAGTTGCAACCGGATGGTACAGGAGAGCAATGTCACAGGGATGGCAATTTTTCCGCCAATCAGCGGATTTCCACCGATTATATTTCAAAATCGCCTCCCTAAACTCCCATTCGATGACACAATAATAAGTTTTCCGCTGAAAATAGAGTTTCCTGGTGCCATCCCTGTTAATCTGTCAACATCAGTCATCTTGATGTATTGTTCTTGATGTATGAATACTCCCAATATGTACTTGCAATAACATGCCATGCATTTCATCAACAAATAATTTTATTTAGAGATCACCGAGACATTCAGTTCACGGTTTTTTCTGACATATACAAAATGTATTTACATGACCGGGATGATGCATAATTTATGTGTAATATATTTGTACAATATTAACAACATTCTTCACACTTATTCATTTTGGCACACTGTACATCCACCGTCTTGAGTCGATCAGAAACTTGTACACATGAAATGGCAAATCTTATCTTCTTATCTTGGGTATAGAAGATTTAAAAATCCAATTAAACAATGTACGGTTAGGCTCTTGTTTTCTCCACCATGATAATATCGCATATACCAAACCGAAATGGACAGAACCAAAGGCCTTGTACCACAATACGAACCGTACCATTTCAAACCTAATAATTATATTGACTCGTCATCAGTGTATGTCTAATATCAAGCTCAAGTCTTACAAACAATTTCTGATTTACAATTTCTGTGGCTGAATAGGACTAAAGGCAGGATTAATGTCCAAAGATCACAGCATAACACGGAGGTCAATGGGATTAACAGGAGAGAAGTCACTTAAGCACTTTGTACAAGCACTCAAGAACCAATCAACAAGGGACTTAAAGCTTTGTCTTTGGTTGTTTACATGTCTGGATTGATGACTTCAAGTGCTGCAATCTTCCCCTTTCACCAGGCGACTCCTAAACTTCCAGATATCCTTTAAAAAAATGAAAACAAAAAATGTCAAAATTATTGTGTTGTGGCATCTAGTCCAAGGGACATAACTCACACAATCTGCACAGTGAGGTGGTTGGAAGGCAAGTAGTTCAAGCTTTACTTGTCACACCAAATACCTGAGTTTGGTTCCCAACAGTGGTATCTGTGACATCTGAGTATATCCTGCTTTCATATTCAAGAATATTGCTAAAAGTAGTCCATCATACAGACCCTGAAACAATTTTATCCAAGAAAGCCCATTCAAATCTAGAATGTGTGGCTGGTCTAGATATCCACAATATCACTTTCTGAAAATGGAAATGTTACTGGGCTCCTTTTCATTACATTTTATGATTATAATTTAGGAACTGTTTTTTCTGTAAAACACTCATTTCAGAGAGTAGATATCAGTCTATGCTAAAGAAGCAACAATTCCTCACCATCTATAAAAAATATCGAGTTATCCGAACTTCGCGACATCGGACCAGGACATATCATTACATATCACCATGAAAGAAAACAAAACGCTTCTCAGTATGTTTTGATTTGAAACTATAATCCGTTATCAGTAGTGTTTATTCGTAACAGTGAGTACTTACTAATTAATTCCTTCTTAATTAATCCTAATTAAATAACAAACAAGTGACACCTTCAACTCAATTATCCCTAATTACTGACTGACTGAGTTTTACGCCGCTTTTAGCAATATTCCAGCAACATCACGGCTGGACACACCTGAAATGGGCTTCACACATTGAACCCGGGTCACATTCGAACCCGGGTCTTCGGCGTGACGAGCCAACGCTTTAACCACTAGGCTACCCCACCATCCCTTAGCCCTAATTAGTTTACACTACCACATCCCTTTCATTCATGCCGCACTGTGTGTAAATGTGTGGAAACAACCTCAGTTCACAGGGATACTTGCCCATGATAGGTAGGTGAATATCAAGTTTCTTTACAAATATCGAGTTAAAAGGGTAATTTTGCTTGTTGGGACCATGAAATTATATCGAGATATCCGAAATATTGAGACATCCGTATTGAGTTAAAAGAGCTTGAATAATGATAAAATATGAAGGTTTTTGCCCGGGACCGAGATGTTATATCGAGACAACCGAGATATCAAGTTATCAGAGTTCGACACAACGATGCTCGACTGATTACAATGACTATCTTTAAAGACTGCCTCCATATAAGTGGAATATTTCTGAGTGTAGCATTAATCAACAAACAACATCATCACCAGGAGCAGATGCAGGATTTTGGAGAAGTGGGGAGGTGCACATATATTATACAGTCCAAAGGTTAGGGGGAATTGCTCTGGATCCGCCTCTCATCACCACCCTACATATTGTCACAGCATGCCAACTCGAGCTTCATTAGCTCTTCAAGGTCCCACCTAATCATAGAGTTCAACATTGTGTCTTCCTTGACACCACCATAGCAGTAACCATCACAGTACGACAACATCTCATTGCATTATGACAATAAAAGACTTCTTTGTTTGCTGTTTAATGACAGCAATATTCCAGCTATAGGGCAGCGATCCATAAATAATCAAGTCTGGACCAGACAATCAAGTGATCAACAGCATGAGCATTGATCTGTGCAACTGGGATACAATGACATGTGTCAACCAAGTCAGCGAGCCAGACCACCCGATCCCATTAGTTGCCTCTTACAACAAGCATGGGCTGCTGAAGACCAATTCTAACCCGTATCTTCATGTGTCGATTTATGTACCATTATTGATATGGTAACAGTTGAGTAGGGAAAGACATACGTCTAGTGCATGCTACATGGAAACATATTACACAGACGTTGCATTGATATAAACATACAACACTCACAGCAAATCTGATCTGGTCTCGGTCCAGGCCAGTTCTCTTCACAGCCAGGTCCAGCACCTCATCAGCAATGGTGGACTGGACGTGGTCTTTCTCTACGTCAATGTACTCCATGTTGCCCGTGGCATAGTGGCAGGAGATGGACTGAAAGGAGAAGTAGTCTGTCAGTGTTAATTCAGGAGTCTGTCAGTGTTAAAATCAGGAGTCTGTCAGTGTTTTTACTAGAGTCTGTCAGTGTCCGTCCTAGTATCTGTCAGCATTAATCCTAGAGTCATCTGAGAGTCAGTGAATGTTATTCCTAGAGCTTGTCAGGGTTCACCCCAGTATCTGTCACCATTCCTCGTAGGGTCTGTCTGTGTTCGCCCTTGGGTCTGTCAGCATTCATACTAGAGCCTGTCTGTTTTCAACCTGGAGTCTGTCAGTGTTCACTCTGGAGTCAAGTGTCCATCCTAGAGATGGTCAGTGTTCACCCTAGAGCCTGTCAGTGTTCCTCCTAGACACTGTGAGCGTTCATGCTGGAGTCGCCAGTGTGCATCACAGGTTGATTTCAATAAGTGCTGTGTGTATCAGTCTGTTTAGGAAAAAAGGAATATTGTATCTGTTGATAACCAGGACTATTGTGTCTATCTTGTACCTTCCGGAAGCCCTTCGTCTTGTTGGTGCCTGAGCCGTGAATGAGGATTGGGTGGAAGAAGACTGTGTCCCCTGCCTCCATCTCCAGGTGTACCCTGGGATAGCTGGGGTCATAGTTCTTGATGCCATGGTACATCTTGTTCACACCTCCCTGGAACACAACGTACATAGAATACAGCTTTCAGCAGATGTCTCCCTGATATACACCATACATACAATACAAATGGTAGCAGACGTCTCCCTGGAATACACCATACATAGAATACAGATAGGAGCAGACGTCTCCCTGGAATACACCATACACAGAACACAGATGGGAGCAGACATCTCCCTGGAATACACCATACACAGAACACAGATGGGAGCAGACGTCTCCCTGGAATACACCATACACAGAACACAGATGGGAGCAGACATCTCCCTGGAATACACCATACACAGAACACAGATGGGAGCAGACATCTCCCTGGAATACACCATACACAGAACACAGATGGGAGCAGACGTCTCCCTGGAATACACCATACACAGAACACAGATGGGAGCATACGTCTCCCTGGAATACACCATACATACAATTCAAATGGTAGCAGACGTCTCCCTGAAATACACAATACATAGAATACAGATGGGAGCAGACGTTTTCCTGGAACACCATACATACAACACAGATGGGAGCAGACGTTTCCCTGGAACACACCATACATAGAATACAGATGGGTGCAGACAACATGCATAGAATACAGATGGGAGCAGATGTCTCCCTGGAATACACCATACACAGAACACAGATGGGAGCAGCTGTCTCCCTGGAATAAACCATACATAGAATACAGATGGGAGCAGACGTTTCCCTGGAACACCATACATACAACACAGATGGGAGCAGACGTTTCCCTGGAACACACCATACATAGAATACAGATGGGAGCAGACAACATGCATAGAATACAGATGGGAGCAGACGTCTCCCTGGAATACACCATACATAGAATACAGATGGGAGCAGCTGTCTCCCTGGAATAAACCATACATAGAATACAGATGGGAGCAGCTGTCTCCCTGGAACACACCATACATAGAATACAGATGGGAGCAGACGTCTCCCTGGAACACACCATACATAGAACACAGATGGGAGCAGACGTCTCCCTGGAATACACCATACATAGAACACAGATGGGAGCAGACGTCTCCCTGGAACACACCATACATAGAACACAGATGGGAGCAGACATCTCCCTGGAACACACCATACACAGAACACAGATGGGAGCAGATGTCTCCCTGGAATACACCATACATAGAATACAGATGGGAGCAGACATCTCCCTGGAACACACCATACACAGAACACAGATGGGAGCAGATGTCTCCCTGGAATACACCATACATAGAATACAGATGGGAGCAGACATCTCCCTGGAACACACCATACACAGAACACAAATGGGAGCAGATGTCTCCCTGGAATACACCATACACAGAACACAGATGGGAGCAGATGTCTCCCTGGAATACACCATACATAGAATACAGATGGGAGGAGACGTCTCCCTAAAACACACCATACATAGAACACAGATGGGAGCAGACGTCTCCCTAAAACACACCATACATAGAACACAGATGGGAGGAGACGTCTCCCTAAAACACACCATACATAGAACACAGATGGGAGGAGACGTCTCCCTAAAACACACCATACATAGAACACAGATGGGAGCAGACGTCTCCCTAAAACACACCATACATAGAACACAGATGGGAGCAGACGGCTCCCTAAAACACACCATACATAGAACATAGGAACAGATGTTCATTATTCTGGAAACACAGATAATATAGCGGAACCTGCATCGATGCAGCTATAACTAACTGTTCATCCCGATAGACACATTTTACTCAACTGAACCTGCAGCGGTGCATGAGACATATCACCCACCTCCCACTCAGGGTAGCCATGTTCCAGCAGCTCCCCCTTGTGGCTGCCGGGCAGAACTACAAGGCAGCCATTTTGTCTGTTGACTGGTTCCATGGCCGTCCAGGAACACACAATTCTTTTAGCCGGTCTGAAGGGAAAGTAGTACAAGTCCTGGTGCATGGGGTGCCGTGATGACTTCTTGCCTGGCAGGGACAAATGTTGGAACCAATTAGACATTTACTTAGTCTCTAACCTTTTCCACTATTCTCTTCAAGTGTACAAACAAAAAAATGTTTGGCATCATAAATATTTTGGGATACCTTTTTTATAATGAGCACAGACATTATAACAATATCACAAAATGTTCATGATTCCTTACATTTTATATTTGGTACATAAAACTCTAATTATTAATTCGAGTTCAATTCTAGAGTCTGATCAAAATATTGCTTCGACAATTGAAAGCAAGACAGGATAGCTTCATTTAAAATAGAAATATAATCTATCTTACTTTCTGAATCATTACATTTTTCAAATATATTAAGGAGTAGCTAATCAAGTTCTGTTATATATTCTTACAAATTTATTCCCCCAAAATAGTTCATGAAAATATTGACACATAGTTACACCTTAAAAAGGTTACAAATATTGAATGAAGTTACTCTTCTCGGTAGACCACACATATTGTACTAGCATAAGGCGAGACAAAGCTGGCTGGATTAGGGTGTACCTGGATCAGGTGGTTTGTTGATCAACATAGTGTGCATGGCCATGACGTTAGGACCAGTGAAACATTCCACGTAGTCCACGACCTGCAACCAGCAACACAATACTTTAAACAGTATACGCATTGAGTCTGTGAATTCAACACTAGGATCAGCAGCTTGAGAAAGTGACTCCAAGACATCCTGCCAAGGCAGAGAGATCTCTCAGCCATGTTGACAAGAATAGAGTACAGGGAACCTATTCCACCATGAATACCAGCTGGAATCCTGGGAACCTACGCTAAATAGGCATAGGAATACTGGAACCTACTCCTCCCTGAATAGGTATAGGAATACTGGGACCTACTCCTCCCTGAATAGGCATAGGAATACTGGGACCTACTCCTCCCTGAATAGGTATAGGAATACTGGGACCTACTCCTCCCTGAATAGGTATAGGAATACTGGGACCTACTCCTCCCTGAATAGGCATAGGAATACTGGGACCTACTCCACCCTGAATAGGCATAGGAGTACTGGGACCTACTCACACTGAATAGGCATAGGAATACTGGGACCTACTCACACCGAATAGGCATAGGGTATGAGTGAGTTTAGTTTTATGATGACATGTGTCAACCAAGTCATCGAGCCTGACCACCCGATCCCGTTAGTCGCCTCTTACAACAAGCATAATTTACTGAAGATCAATTCTAACCCAGATCTTCACAGGTTGAATAGGCATAGGAAAACATTCCACCTTTAATACTCACAGGAGTGCCAGGAACCTACTCCACCAGGTATTGACCTGGGAATTCTTCTACCTCACACTTCTACCATGTATGCCATGCGACATAAGCACACAGCATACAAACGGGATGTGAACACAATAAGAGACACCAACTTGTGACAAATATTTACATGCAGTATTAAAATTAATGGTGCTAAAGGTCAAACATCTCACCTGAGGAAGGCAGCAGTAGTCAAAGAGGACTTCATCGTTCATAAAATCCTGTATTTTGGTGACGGCTTGTTCTCCAGGCACAAACTCGGACTTTGAGATGCTGACGTCTCTCATGATGAGGAGCTGTGGAACCTTCACTTCTTTCTTGCAAATCTTCTCAAATCTCTCCCTACGGGTAGACAGTAGAGAGAGTGAGAGGTGTGGGATAAAGAATGGTGTGAGTGAGTGAGTGACACATAAGTGACTAATTGAGCGAGTGAGTGAGCGACCATATGAGTAAATTACCAAGGAACCAACAAGCGAGACAATAAAGGGTCTAAACAACAGATGGTTGAATGTAGGGTGTTGGTATTAGGGCTGAGTTACCCGGATACCCGGGAGGTGTGGGTTAAGAGTTGGACCTGGGTACCCATCATCTTACCCGTACCCACTTTGATCACGTGACTAATAAATGAAGAATTAATTGTTATTATCTTATTTACAACAAGATTGTTGTCTTATGTTTGAGATTGTGAACAAAACTTGCACTGAAAACTCACAAGATACCGTGACAACTAAGCATGTCACGTGTAACATAGGTTGCAAGTACGCCAAGTAGCTAATTGTTTACATTTACAAGACCCAGGAATGCAGTTGCAGAAGGATGTCTGTTGTTCAGATGTCTTCCCATCGATAACGTATTCCCCCTCCTCTGTGACCTCTGCACTGAGCTCAAAATGCATTTTGTCTTTGTGCCCGATGCGACAGATTTAAAATATTTCCAGACGCCGCTCTTAATCTCGGCCATGACTAATTTTTTTTAAGGGAATAACTCACAATTAATGTTATAACGGGTACCCAGGCCGGGTTGGGATGGGTAATAGGGGGTCGGGTAGAAATTTTGGACCAAGTTGGTATAGTTGAGGGTGACATCATACTGGATTCTTCTTCTTGCAGTTATGCTTGTGATGTCACAAACATAGCTCACCTGTATCTGTCCAAGTCCTTCTGCGCTACCAGCTTCTTGATGACCAGGTAGCCATTCTCCTCGTAGAACTGCCGTTGTTCCAGCGAGAGACGGGGTTTGTTGTACGTCAGCTGGAGGTCCCCACCCCCTACAGTCTGCAGCCCGGATACAGGCTCGAACTGCTGCACAAGCTCAGGATAATATATTGAAGACTTTACAAGATAAAAAATGTACAGCTGCTTGCTTGTCTGCAAATGATCACATCTAGACATACCACTGACTGAAATCATGATGATCCAGGCCCCCTGATATGAGGACGCCCAATCTAACACATCGTCCCTGACAACCAGAATTGTAGCCAACTACAGACATGTGACTAGGATGTATTCTCATAAAGAAATACAACTGACATTGGAATATGAGGAGTCCCCCCCAAAAAGGCACCAAGCCTGACAACCACACCCTGAGATTTGTAGCCAACTAGAGACATGTGACTTGGACCTATTCCATTGGCGGATCCAGAGGGGGGTTCAGGGGGTTCGAACCCCCTCTTTTCAAAATTCCTGGATCCGCCCATGTATTCTTATCCAGAAATACAAGTGACATTGGAATATGAGAAGCCCCCCACAAGGCACCAAGCCTGACAACCACACCCTGAGATTATTTATTATTTACCAACTAGAAACATGTGACTCGTAACTTCTTTGAGTGGCATGTTTAGAAGTTGGTGAATCAGATAAGGACAAACTTTATGGATAAACAGAACCGAATAAAGAAGTTGTATATCCATAAAGTCAGTCCTTATCTAATGTGACTTGGACTTATTCTCATCTAGAGATACAAGCGACATTGGGATATGAGGACCCTTAGTCTAAGGCACCAAGCCTGACAACCAGATGCTGAGATTAGTTGCCAACTAGAGACATATTGCTGGGGACTAAGGCATCGAGCCTGACAACCAGATTAGTAGACAGTTAGGTAATGAAAGAACTAAGTAATGAAAGAATATCTAAAACAAAAACAATTCATTGGCAAAAACAGAAAGCATGAAAGTATTTCCTGATAGTATATTTAGATATATATATACATGTATGCAATTCTCTCATGTCAACCAAACACCATGGACACACTGCTATTGAATATTGTTTGTATCACAAAATGATATATGAAACAGCTGTGCACTAAAATATGTGTTTGCACAGAAATCTAAATTGATTTATTTATAGATTATTAATGTGAAATAAAATACAAATGATAAAAAATGGGTCATAAATCAAATATATAAACAATTGCATAAAGGATGTTTTTTCTGTATTCAAAAATCAAAATGAATCATGGATTTCAAAAACAGAGAAGTATGAACAATATCGCCGAATATATGAATAGTGCTCCATTAGTAGTATCACACATCTGATTATTACCCGGCATCTCATGTCACCTTACATACTATAATACGGACTGACAAAACCACTAGTTCCATCACGATACACTTCAAATAAAATGATGAAATCACTGAAAAATCTTCGACAACTTACTTCAATACCCCGCAACCATTTTTTTCTGTTCAAACCCAAAATTCGCCAAACTTTGAGAATTAAATGTTCTGGACGTGTCCTCTGTTAACAACATATCTTCGTGTTATTCTATGCTTACAGGTACGCTCTGCCATAATGGGAATAGACTCCATCAGTTCCTCTGTTCAAGTCCTAGAGTACAGCGGTCTGACAAACTGATGATTCTAGTATCATCCATACCAAAGTATCAATGAGATCACTGACAATATACCAGCTGAAAGGATACAATTGTCCGAGAACCTGTCACATGACCAATCACAGTTTGAAGACGCTCTGCCATTTCAACAGTCAACAAGTCAGTTTTTCAAAACGCAGCCTTCTACTTGTCAGCTGTATGATCCATCTGCAATAAATATATAAACAATAAACATCCACTTGTATTGCATGTATGACATCAGCTGATACCTCCACACAACAAAGACCCCTATATTTCAACTATATGAGTATATTCCATCAGAATATACACAACTTACCATTCAACAAAAGTAACACGCAGATCTGTTATTAACCACTGACTGAAGCTGTGTACGTGACCAGACATTGTATTTCCCCAGCGACCTTGTACTTTGCACTGATTATGGGTCATGCTGTTTGACACAGATAGACTGTGGTCTGGTTTTATATATACCTTATCAGGCCAACTCTCTGTTACTAGTTCTACTTATCATGTCATATACATGCCATATAACATATACATAACAAGCTATAACACAGTGAATACACGGTGCCATTTAGAAAGAGGTCAAATGTAACATATGTTATATTTGGCATTACACTTTCCCAGTAAAGTACAGATTCTAGTACCTTATTTGGTTTGTTTACTGAGAAAGTGTAATAAAAAAACAACATAATATAACATTTAAAAGTTGTTCATAGGGAGTGAATTAGGTAAATATTATCAGAGACCATGTAATATATTATATGGTCTCTGATATCATGTATAAAAAGACATATTTACTCAACAATTTAATGAAATTGTTTTTCTAACATCTTCAAGCACCCAGAACAATTGGTGAAGCATTTTTTAATGACTGTTTTCCGTTGTGTGGGCAGATAACAGAAAAATGACCATCAATCTTCACTGATTTCTGTCATGATGTGTGATTCCAGTCTGTCGTATAGTGTACGTAGAAAAGAAACTATATTTTTTCAAATTCACAGTGATCCTACATACTGATCAGATTTTTGTGAACTGGCTGCCGAACAGTTATCGCCATATTTTAGCAGAATTTACAGAATTTCTCCACCGTTTGTTCAAATAACGAAACAGAATTAATTATGATGCTAAATTAGCTATTCACCGATGTGTCCAGACCGTTTACAGCTGCCGATGGTGATTTCATATAATGTGGCGGAAGGGAATCATGGCAGTATAAATAGATGTTTTCTCACAACTAACTGTACATAACAGTTATCGCCATTTCAGAATTTCTCATGCCATTTGTGAAATAATATATGTCTATATTATAGAGTACTTCGAATGGTTGATTGTGTGACCATTTGAGTGTTTCATTTACAGTAGATTGATAGGGAATGGAACAATTAATGACTTGTGAACTTGAACTTGCTGTTATATAGGTCGTGGGACATCCCCCCCGACTAAGTTAAAACAAGTTTAAAGGGTTCATAACTTTATCTTTAATTTTTCTCTTATGGTACCTATTGCGAAGAAATGTTTTTACTGTCCTTTATTGTTGTTAAAAATACCGGAATTGTTATTGACCGGAACTGCGCACGTATGATACTGGTGTCTTGGCGATAACTGTTACGCGGTGATAAAGGTCTGTTTGCTAGCCAGTAATAGTAAAACAATATGTCACAATCAATTATATCTAAAAACACTTCAAACGCGAATGTTTTCATTTTCGCAAAACATCATTTGGCAGCCAAAACATGAAATATCAGCTCCAAAACTTTTTAGTTCCTCACGTACCCCCCGCATATTTTATAAGGTACTTTCGGTACTTGTATATCTTAGTAAAAAAAAATTATATTAGTAATTAGGTGGGGAGCACGTAAGGAACTCTTACCGCTTTTGGGGCAGTTGTTCCATGCCTTGCTTAATTTTGACAACGCGTTAGTTTTGATAATGTTGCAGAAACTTGCAAGTGAGATAGGTGCCAATTTAATATCAGTAGACAATGGTAGAGGTTAAATCATCAGTGAACATAAAACATTGTGTGAAACCTGGACAATCTCTGTTCATTGACAGCAAAGTCCAACGTCTACACTGAGACCATCACCGAGCACTTGTCACCGTGTGTATAATTCCAAAAACATGCCAATTACTTCAACAGTAGTAGAAGTAATATTTTAACAGCTGTCACAAATTGGACAAGTACAACCGAAACAAAACAAACAGTGCTTCCTAAGTCCCTTACCTCGCATGAAAGTCGAGTAACTTTCAGGGGAGCTAACTCTAAACACATATTAAAAGCTAACGATTTCGTTCATCGTCGACAGGTTTCCGGTTCGATTCCTGAGCTCGTTTCTTACAACTCGCATTCTTCATTAATACTGATACTTAAGATGTCATCCACCTTTTGGTGCTATGTTAAATGGTATTCAAGATGCCACTATACAGGACGCCAGATGCCATGAAATTATTATCTGGTACGCGAAAGACAATATTTCAATGTTACAATGTTAAGAAAGTAACAGATGGATAAAAAAAAAGAAGACAGTTATCACTAGAATTCTCTGCTGACGTGTTCTTGAATTTCTAAGTAAATCACAGTCTAATTTACTTACGAAAACAGTGCCCACTGATATAACTAAGAGTTGTTAAAAAGGAGACCAGCACAAATTATGTGGTATGACAACCAGCATATGAGTTCTCGTCCTTGAAAATGTGAATTATATCATTCAAAAAAGGTAGGGGAGCATACCGCTAGCCAATGCCAATGCATATAAGAAAAAGAAATATATATCCATACAGTTGAAACATTTCCAAAGGAATGGAATAAATTGTTACATTTTCCCTTAATTTCTCTTTATCATCTGGTTCCTCCTTGGCTTCATCATTTTATCAATCTTGTAAATCCAATATTCCCTACTTTTTAATGGTATATTTTCAGATTGAGTCCTTCATAGTTTGTTGAAATACGTATGTCCATAAAACAATTGATATGAAGGCGTATAGCCGATTAATTCACCGATACAACACATGTTTCACTGAAGAAAGGTGTATTGCTCTACATTTGACATGTCACAAGCAGGTACCTTCGTCTAGCTATTTTTAATAAAGCTAATTTTACTAGACTTGGGCGTTGGACCAAATTGTTTTTCCGATCAAGCCTTGATTCGTAGTGACTGGCACCAGAGTGAGTGAGTTTAGTTTTACGCCGCACTCAGCACTATTCCAGCTATATGGCGGCGGTCTGTAAATAATCGAGTCTGGACCAGACAATCCAGTGATTAACAGCATGAGCATCTATCTACGCAATTGGGATACGATGACGTGTGTCAACCAAGTCAGCGGCCAGACCACCCGATCCCGTTAGTCGCCTCTTACGACAAGCATGGGTTACTGAAGACCAATTTTAACCCGGATGTTCACGGGTGGTGTATGAGGAACATGGTACTGGCAAACATATTCATAACCAGGGTGATTCTTGTCCCTTAGACCAGCAGCAGATCCTGGAATGACCAAGGTATGCAACTCTAGTGATGTCACATACCGAATAAGACATCATGTATTTTTTGAACAATGTATGACAGCATTAACCGTTACGTCGATCTACAGAATTGGGATACGATGACATGTGTCAAGCAAGTCAGCGACCCTGACCACCCGATTCATCCTCACAGATAGCTGATACGCTCTCCCCAATAATAACCGCACACACATAAGTGAGTGAGTGAGTGAGTTTGATTTTACGCCGCTTTTAGCAATATTCCAGCAATATCACGGCGGGGGACACCAGAAATGGGCTTCAAACATTTTACCTATGTGGGGAATCGAACCCGGGCCTTCGGCGTGACGAGCGAACGCTTTACCCACTAGGCTACCCCACCGCCCCGCACACACATAAGAGTTGGCAAAGCCGTAAGTGTTACATACTGTATATTGTATATAGTTATTTATTACTCACCCGTTGAAGATAGATCACTGTTTAATAATTTTACAATGTTATTACACATTGTTTAATAACATCGCGTGGTGCCGTACGTATGACGTCAAAGTGGTTTACAGTTGTGACGTCACAATGCTAATACCTCTGTCACAATGGTATTAGACCTTGCTTGACTCGTGGAAAGCTGAGAGTCGTCACACTCGTTGAATTCTCAGGAAAGAAGGACTTTGCTCGATATTATTTTGCTAATGTTGGGTGAGTAATAAATAAATTCTCTATTTATTACTCACCCGTTGAAGATATCACTGTTTAATAATTTTACAATGTTATTACATATTGTGTAATAACATCGCGTGATGCCGTACGTATGACGTCAAAGTGGTTTACAGTCATGACGTCACAATGCTAATACCTCTGTCACAATGGTATTAGACCTTGCTTGACTCGCGGGGAGCTGAGCGTAATCACACTCCTTGAATAGACCGATCCAGTCAATCAAAACCGGCGCATGCGTCAATTTTGGCCAATCAGCAGGCCGGGCGCGCTGTATGGATTTGTCAGACTTATTTCCGGGGTCAAACGATGCCTCCGAAGCGATGCGCTTCGAATTATGCCATTTAAACTCGTTATATTTATTACATATTGCTGCAAGTTGATGTGTATCTTTAGCAAAACCATTACGGTCAAGACAAAAAAATTGAGGCGGATCAAGGAGTGTGATAGGTCTAACGATCAGTTAAATGTCTGCACCATCATTCACAAAACCTACGTCTGCCTGCAGATGAGAATATGCACGAATTTACACACTTTTTGCACATGTGCAAAATCATTACCAATAGATGACAACAATAGGAGTTTAAGACTTTGCAAGTGTTATAAACACGGACAATTCTTGCAACTACCAAATTATTTTTGCTTAACGTTTTTAGTCACTACTGGGCATTGAGTTGGTAGGCCATAAAGCTGAAATGAGACAGGCGAGAAAGCCATGACACAATGTAAACAAATCTGACAGCGATCTGGTTTCGGTTAGGGTTGACCGAAATAGCAAACATTGTTACATGAAAGAACAATGTGGCGGATATTGTTCCCTTCGCTCTAGATATTCTTAAATTTGTCAAACATTTTAGGATGTTTTATGTTTCAAAAGCACAATCTGAAGGCCTACAATATCTTATTAATGGTGCAAAATATTCGAGGAGTAAATTTTTTTTATTCAAACGGAAATAGGTGTCAGAAGTTGCCTATAATACAATATCAAAAATTTTAAAAATTAATTCTAATGAGTAAATTAGAATATATTATTTCAGAATTTTTATTAAAAGATACATGGGATCTTGAATTGAAATACCTTCCTCCATGTGGATCGAATACGAAAATTATGTGAGAAGAATAGTGACTTTCTGGAGAAATGGACGGAGTGACATAAAGTGTATTTCTTAATTATGACAACATGAATTATTCACATACATGTATATTGGTACATTTTAG